TAAAAATAAAAGCGGCTTGAAATGGGTAAATAAAAATGATTGCAAGGTAACAGAGAGGATTCCTCTTAAACACTTGTTTTACATGACCAAATACGGTTGCGCTTAGATGGACCAAAATGTAAATGAATGGCTTTGTTCAACCTGTCCAAATGAGAATAGCTCTATTCTACTCTATTCTGCCAACTCATAGAGAATGAATACGATGATTCAGTCAACCATTTTCCACTGCCTGTAAACTGGACATGCATTTTCAAAGCCAGGCTTAAACGACAAAGTGCCCTGAACACTGGGCATAAAGAAAAATTGTTTGTTTATTCCTTAGCACAAATGTTGACTTGTATGATGTTGCTTGAAACCGCAGAGAACCTAGGGTGCGTTTATAATGCAAGATAAGAAGATACAAACAAGCTGTTATTGCCCTGATGGTTTGTCTTGGGGGATGATTTATTTTGCAGGTATCCTGATTTTAAGTGGATGTGATGTTAGCACAATGAAGTAGGTGTGATTTGTCAGAGGAAATGTTGCTGATCAGACATTCATGTAATTAGCTGTCCCTCAGAGGGTTAAACAGATCTTGAATTAAATGTTCTCCGATCTTTTTATGTTACACGCTTCTGTTCTCAGGGTATAGATTCTGGGTTGCAGAACAATGTCAGCCTTGACCTGATTCTCCCCCACACCCCTTTACTTCCCTCTTAATAGTGGATGCCAAAGATGTATAGGCCCCACATCCAGCCCACAGGCCCGTCCTGCCCGGCCCTTGAGCTCCTGGCTAGGGAGGCTAGCCCCTGGCCCCTCCCCTGCTGTCTCCCCTCCCCTGCAGCCTCAGCTTGCCACGCCGCCAGCGCTCTGGAGGGCAGGGCTGTGAGCTCCTGCCGGGCAGCGAAGCAGTGTGGGTGGCTCTGGACGGTAAGGGGGTGGGGAGTGAGGGGGAGGTTGGATAAGGGACAGGGGATCCCGAGGGGCCTGTCAGGTGGCGGGGGTGTGGATAGGGGTCAGGGTACTCAGTGAACAGGGAGCAGGGGGGGGGTTGGATAGGGGGTGGGATCCGGGAGGGGGGCGGTTAGAGGTGGGGGGGTCCCGGGATGAGGCAGTCAGGGGACAAGGAGCAGGGGGCGTTGGATGGGTCGGGGATTCTGAGGGGGGCAGTCAGGGGAAGGGAAGTGGGAGGGGGCGGATAGGGGGTGGGGGTCAGGCTGTTTGGACAGGCACAGCCTTCCCTACTCGGCCCTCCATACAGTTTTGCAACCCCGATGTGGCCCTTAGGCCAAAAAGTTTGCAAACCCCTGCCTTAGATAAAGATAATCCAGAATTCCAAACAAGGCTTGACACAGAATGTCCAGGATCTGTGCTAAGTTGGAACGTGCCCCAGTGCATGGGGTCTTGCCTACCAGTTTCTGCAGAACTTTCAGCTCTAAAATAGCAATAGGTCTAGTGCTTGTGATTGTGAAGATAACCTTCCAAGTGTGATCCCATTCAGAGTCGTCTTCCCCTGTGCACTGCCAAAGCCCAGATTCTTGGCTTCGTCTCTGGGCCTTTGGAGGGAAGGAAGAATTTTGTCACCTGCTACTCAGACTTCACAGCCCAATGTGCAGGAGCAGGTGATTTCCACTCCAGTCTCAGGGTTTGAAAATCCTTGCTGTGCAGGAAGCTGAGCTCTGAGAAATTCAAGAGGGGTACATATTCGCTCACCATCTGCACTCTCCATCTGCACTACAGAACCATGCGGGTTCAGCTAACTGAGAGCCCCCACCTGTGGCTACAGACAACAGGAAGTCTCGGGACTCACCCCTGAGGTGTGAAATGCCTCCACTCACCTCATTGGGTGTTAACGCGGATGTTTCTCTGTATCTATTTTAGGCCTGCTCTACACAGAGTTTAAAAACTGATGAGTTAAACTGGAGCAGCTTGTTGTGTTTAGACCAGGCCTTAACTTTATCCTTCCATCACTTATCTGTCTGGAAATTCAATAGTCTTCACCAGCCCCCTCTCCCACTCAGCCGAATGGTGTGTGCACTGGCAGTGAGGAGGATAATTAATCTGACTAGTGACCTCCTACATGATTTGTCATGGGCTGATTGCAAATGCAAAACAAATATTAATGACTAACTGTAGAGAACAGATCCTGGAACCCACTCAGCTGATAGACATGTAGGATGCCAGCTCTGTGGCACATGTGCACTTACGGTCCCTCTCTCACCCTATGGAGTGCCTAAGTAAACGAGGTCAGTCTCTACTGATGGACTGAAATAGTTAGCTGTAACACAGCCATTATGCCAGGTTATCTGCGCACCTCCGGAGCGTGTTGTGAGACCAAAGGCCAGTGTTTAAGAGAGATCGATATGCCTGGATAAACTTGCTTCTTAAAGTGGTAGTATTTCCATAAAACATTTCATTTTAGTAACACCTGGGTAACCTGTCTGTTAGGTCTGGATACACACCGCAGTAGGAATGTTTGCTGGCTGATCCCAGCAGTCCTTTATTCATGCTATTTTATATTGCTGATTACTGATGGACATCTGGGTACATATTGGGGAGACGCACCTCTTTCAGTTGTTTCAAAGTAGTATATGGATCTATGAATAAAATACTATAGCTTGTTGAAGGAACACAGTAAACACTTCTTAAATGTAAACTTCTTCCTGCTTTAAAGATAGCCTTCTTCCTTTAAAACATATCCATAATACTATGTGAATCAGGGACCTGCACATTTTTAGTTTAAAAATAAACTAATATTATTATTATTAAAGAACCAATCATGTGTTTGGTTTTGAACAAGACAGGAAGAGTAAGCCTGGCCTTGAGAAAGTAGCTAACAGGCCCATAAAGCATCAGGAAAACCATTAATTCTTTTTTCTTTTTCTTAATAGAACATTTGTGCTCAGACTGAGCTATGTCAAATTTCAGAGCAAGTTTTGTGTCCAAATCACAGTACTCTAAAAAGAAGATATTTGTGTGTATTATCTTTTTAATTTTTTTAAAGTAAACATTGTCACAACCTTAACTCCACAGCTCCCAACATTTCAAGTGTTTAAAGCAGGACACAACCCCACGCTGGTTTGTCCCATCTGCCTCTCTATAGATGAAGACAGAGGGGTAGCCGGGCCAAGCCTGAGTGACAGTGCAACCCTTGCACCAGGTCACAATGCCACTCAGTTTGGAGGGCTCTTTCAAATGGGGGCCCCAGGGAAACTGCACCCCACCAGTGGCCTTGATTGTGGGAAATGTTCCCTTCAACTGGGACAAGAGGTTTTGGGGCTGAAGTGGAACAGTCCCGTGAAACCTGGGACTGTTGGGAGGTCTGTAACTCTAGTGGTGGGAATGGGGTGGTTGTCTTACCACCTTCTGGATTCCAGCAGTAAGATAGTAGCTCCAACATTTAGTTATGGTGTGCATTAATTTTTCATTTCTGGGAAAGGTTTGCAGAAAGTCACAAATTAATCTTCTAATTGAGGACCTTGGCATTGTGTGGGATGAATGTTTTGTATTAAACAGCCTAACTCATTAATTCACTGAAACATTTAAAACTAAACCAGTTAAATCCAGCTGAGCCGAAAGTTCAGACCCATGAGTGCATAGTTTGAAACCTTTTAAACCTTCTTTTATTAATATGTATAAAAGTAAGCTCCCTGAAATTGTAAACCACAGTTTATAATTGGTCTTTAGATATTGTTTTCCTTGTAAACAAGGACACGAACATTCAAAAAGCCAGCAAAATACTAAGAAGACAATGTAATGGGTTGTTTGTGTGTAACAGAGAGAATGAAAGAAAGCAGTTATGCTTATAGCAGCAGTATTGTTTTTTCGAGTGATTGTTAAAATTAATACAGATATTTACATAATTGCTATTGTTTAGATCCTAGGGTTTGAGCATTTTAAAATGCAGGCTTCCTACCACACCACCCTGCTGAACCAGACCTGAGCATCAGTTAGTTGCCACAATACTAGTCTACTGAACAGCTTATTTTGTGAAGTCTGCCTGGGCCTGACCTGATGATACATTGCTGGTGTAAACCACTGCCGGCAGAAGGTGGGGCTTAAAAGGCCTGGCCAAAAATTAAGCAAAGCCAAGAATAACTTGCTGAGTAGATTTTCATCTATTCGTAATCTACACACAGTGTTGATAGCAATTTCACTATGTGCATTTAGAAACCAGTACAGTGAGAAGTCTGTGCAACTCCCTAGTGTGGACGGAGTTATACCAATATAAAAGTGCTTATACAGAGGTAGCAAACTTTAACAATAGAAGCACCTTTATGCTGCAGGGGTCCTACCAATTTTTAACTGTCAATTTTGAAATTGATGTACAGTAGAACCTCAGAGTTACAAACACCAGAGTTACAAAGCGACCGGTCAACCACACACTTCATTTGGAACTGGAAGTACGCAATCAGGCAGCAGCAGAGACAAGCCCTCCTCCCCCAAAACGCAAATACAATACAGGACTGTGTTAAACGTAAACTATTACAAAAATAAAGGGAAAGCAGCATTTTTCTTCTGCATAGTAAAATTCCAAAGCTGTATGAAATCAGTGTTCAGTTGTAAACTTTTGAAAGAACCCCCATCATGTTTTGTTCAGAGTTACGAACACTTCAGAGCTATGAACAACCCCCATTCCCGAGGTATTCGGAACTCTGAGGTTCTACTGTAATTGAATTGGTACAACACTGTGCAGACAAGCAGTGATTACCCTACTGTATCATCAGCTCTGGTGCAAGAATAATTGATGTGGTGTGAATTTGACTGTTTTGGGCCAGTCTCACCCTGGAAAATTGTGTTTAAAGGAAAACTAATTCAAATTGTTCAAAGGAAAAGTGTTTAAGTACTTGGGAGGTTAAGCAGTGGCATGTGCTCCCTCACTTACATATGTATTACGTAGGAGTATATTAAACATCAATAGTCAACCTTTATGGAAGTAGAAGTCATTGTTTCATTACCTTCATAACTCTGGTGCTGGTATTTCATTCAGCTAACGTTTCATTGCTACTTTCCATCCACAGGCCAGTGTGCTGTAGGGTAGTATATGTGAAACAAAGATCCCATTTGAATGCATGACTCAGTCTGAAACATCCAAAGTGGTAGTAAGGTAAGTTCTGTTTTTGTACTGATTTTTTTTTTTTAACAGTGATTGATTCACTATTACGTTAACCAACACAGTTGAAAAATAAAGCTTGCCTAGTTTAATGATAGAATCTGTAGGATACCCCATTTACATATCACACTGGAAATGCACACAAGATTATTAGCAGATTCTGTAAAATGCACAGGAACCACAACCATGCTCTTAACATTTTGATGTAGTCAATACACGACTCAGTTGCATCTGAGACTCTGAATTAAGTCTAGTATGGTTATCATAGAAATGTAGGACTGGAAGGGACCTTCAGAGGTCAACTGGTCCAGCCTCTTGTGCTGATTCAGGCCCAAGTAAGCTGAGACCATCCCTGACAGGTTTGTCTAACCCGTTCTTAAAAACCTCCAGTGATGGGGATTCCACAACCATCCTCGGAAGCCTGTTCAGAGCTTAACAATCAGAGTTAGCAAGTTTTTCTGAATATCTAATCAAAATCATCTTTGCTACAGAGCAAGCTGATTACTTCTTACTCATCCTCAGTGGATATGGGAGAAAGATTGATCACCATCCTCTTTCTAACAGCCCTAAACATATGTTAAGACTTATCAGGTTCCTCCTCCCCTCAGTCTTCTTTTCTCAAGACTAAACATGTCCAGTTTTTAACAACTTTTCCTCATAAATCAGGTTTTCTAAACCCTTTATTGCCCTCTCCTGGACTCTCTCCAATTTATCCACGTCTTTCCTAAAGGGTGGCACCCAGTACTGGACAGACTGAGACCTCATCAGTGCTGAGCAGAGTGGTACAATTACCTCCCATACAACACTCCTGTTAATACAGCCCAGAATGATATTAGCCTTTTTTGAAACCGTATCACGTTGACTCATATTCAAATTATGATCCACTATTACCCCCCGATCCTTTTCAGCAGCACTACCACCTAGCCAGTTAGTCCCCATTTTGTAGTTGTGCATTTGGTTTTTCCATCCTAAGTGTAGTGCTTTGCACTTGTCTTTATTGAATTTTATGTAATTGCTCTAAGGAAATTGACTTACCAGTACACTTGATTACATTTGTCTAGTAAAATACCACCATCCTTAATTTCAAGCTAAATTTACACTCTGTTGTCTTATATTAAGTTAATATTTGTCTGAACCAAAACATGACTTTTATGACACCCGAAATCTAGATGTGTCCTCAGCTGTGATCCTAGCAAAGTTTGTTTGGGTAAAATGCTGAAGTACATACAGACACTTTATAAGCATCAAGCAGTGCTATTGATTCCTCTGCAGGTGGGTCAAGCAATTCAGTTTTAGCAAAACAGTGCTGATTACCTGCTCTAAAAGGTGATTGTAAAATGGCACAATGCTATTCTTTGTATGTTTCAATCACTTTGTATCAAATTTACTCAGCTGATAATTAAAAAGGTGATTTTTATCTATCTGCCAACTCTGCAAACACGACCTGGGATCTTTCTGGCTCTTGCATAATCTCCAATAATAGAGATTCTGTAACTAGAACTCGGTTAATAATTCTGCTGAAGATGCACAAACTTGCAGAGACTCCAGATCTGTCTCCCACAGCTGAGTTGGCCCCGCAGAGCCAAACAGGAGTAAGAAATAATGAAAACTTCATGCAGCAAACTGAGTAGGTAGACAAAAAGCAGATCTGGGCAGTAAGAAGGCTCATTTTCACGGTTGTTTTTGACTCAACACTCGCGGCCTTTAACGTTATCTTTTTATAGTTTTGTGGCTATTTTTGTTGTCATTCCTAATTGACTTGACTTAGAAAGGTCATCCTAACCTCACACGTGTCAAATAACAAGGCATCAGAAATTAGGATTGGGAGTAGGTGGCGATTGGAATTCAGGTCTTTGCTGAATAGCAAAACTCTTGGTTACCTAAGTATTCTGCTCACTAGTGCTAATAAAGAACGTGCTGCTCCTTTGCACAGGGAAAGGGCATCCCCAAAAGGTGGGCTAGAAACCTCACAAAAACAGGTATTGATAATATAGAATTCACACTACAGAAGCTCAAGATCATAGCATCCATCATGCCTTTTGGACTTCCAGCTTTTTCTACAGCTTTTGCAGAGCACACGGTCAGTTCTGGGGCCAAGTTCAATGCTCACTAACGGTATTTCAGCACTATTTTGTAATCTCAAACCAACCCACAAGTTAGAGTTTCTTATCAGAGTGTTTTAAATTGTGCATGAGTGTTGCTCAGGATAGGACTGGACATCCAGACTCTGTTATATAGCTATCTTATTTTTCCAAAGGTGTGGAGATTTACTTATTTTTGATGAACTTGCAGAAGTTAAATGCTAGTTCTTCAGCTGAACTTTAAATTAGGATCCTTCCTCATCCATATCTGAAGCAATTAATTAAAAAAGAAAAGTAAAAGCAGGTTTTGCATAAGTACTAAGAAAATTATTCACCTGATCCCCATGTTTCTGTGCATGACATCAGCACAGAAAATCTGATAAGAAAGCTGGTAGACTGCCAGTTCACATTGCTTATAACTGACAGTAATTACTTACTTGGATCTTCTAATAGGATGATAAGTCAGTTTTTAAGATCTACTTTAATTAGTGTTTTTATAAATATCTCTGTTACTGTAAATCTTGGTAAAGTCTGGCACAAAATCTCTGTGTAGTAGGTTCTATGGGTCAGGCGCCAACTCCGTGGGTCATCCAGGGCTGGAGCACCCTTGGGAATAAATGGTGGGTGCTAAGCACCCACTGGCAGCTCCTCTGTCAGCTCCCCCCCCCACTTCGCCAGCGCCTCCTGCCGATGAGCCCCACAGGTCAGTGCCTCCGCCTCCTTCCCCGCGCCTCCCATCCACCACAATCAACTGTTCCATGGCGTGCAGGAGGCTGGGAGAGAGGAGGGAGGAGTGAGGATGCGGCGCACTCGGGGGAGGGGGCAGAACTGAGCAGGAAAAAGTGAGGCGGGGAGGGATGGGACCTTGGGGGAAGAGGGGAGTGAGGGCGGAGTACCACCGGCACTTTGAAAAGCCAGCACCTCTGGGTGGTCATATACTTCCAAGTGACTGTGCAATCTGGAAAATACTATTTTATTCTTGTATGCAAAATCTAGATTTTCCCTTGAAAAGAATGGATATTATAATCCATGTAGAAGGCTTTGAAATTCAAATAAGTTGACTTAAGTGTTGTTGATGAGAGAAGTGCTGTAGGTAATAGATTGGAGAGGGGTTAGAGGAGAAATGGGCTGCTTCAGATTGGCTATTCCCCTTCTCATCTGGATCAGTTTTGGCAAATTATTCATGATGCCAGCTACCGTAGACCATTTTACTGCCTTCGGCAGGTGAGCTCAGGCATGGAGCATCCGGTGTGCATATTGCAGACTGCACCAGGTCAGAGACAAGATTGTGCCTTAAGACCTGTCCAGCTCTAGCCTTCAGCAGAATATTATCTTGATCTAGAATTACTAGAACTTGTGAAGAAAAGACAACACACAGTAAGATTTAAAAAAATAAACAATAAAATGCTGTGGTGACATCTCTTTCCTCTCCTTGATCTCCTGCACCCAGGAAAATGGCCACGTGTTGTGGAGGCCTTGCACTTCCCCAAAGAACACCTAAATGCCATTAAATAGAGTTGTCTGAACCTTTAAAGCTACAACAGTGCGGCATTCCTGGGTCCCATGGGAGAGGGAATCTAAGAGATAAGTGTGTACACTTCAGTTGCTCTCTTGGTGAACCATCTTCCCTTGCAACTCTAGCTGAAGACTAAACAGACCCTGTTAAAACCATGCCAGAGGGGAAAAGCGACACAAGACACTAACAAAGTCGGTGTAGATTTTGTGAACTACTGCAAGGACGGCCAAAGTGCAACACTCTGACTGTAGCCCTACCCCTCTGCTCAGCACTGCATCGGACATTTCCACGTGCAAGGCCCCCTCTGGACTTAGTGCACAGTGTAGTCCCCTGCTTTCATGGGCTCCTCTTCTTGCTAGAGATTGATGGGGCAGAGGCAGGAGAGGAGCCTGTATGAAGAAATAGTGGTGATTTGGACCATAATGGAAGCACATGAATTACACTCGGTGGGCAAGCAAACAATAAGCAGCCGGACATAGCCCAAGTCACCCAACTGTGGCCCGGGATCTCAATATTATGACTGTGTATGGCTCACATATCTAATTCTCCCTTCTACACAATCATTTGGACAAAAAGCAAAACAATCAAACTCATTATCGCCAGCTTCCAAACGTTTTCAATTAAATATTGAAATGATTTATCTTGTGAAGCAATTAAAGTACCATAACAATTACAATCAGAATGTAAAGTGTATATGTTCTGTCTAGTGCAAAGCTTAGTAACTCTTCTCTCTTCTCTTCCTCAGGTTCAATGGCAAATGTAAACATTTGTCAACACTTGAAAAATATTCCTTTGGACAACATGGATTTGCTGGAATCTAGAGTTCAGAACACTTGCAAAGAACAGCGCTTTATTTTTTAAAGCATTAATTACCTGGATTGGTTGCAGCGATGGCTAGCAAAAGAAAATCCACAACTCCTTGCATGATACCGGTAAAAACAATGGTGCTGCAGGAGATGGAATCAGATGCTGTGGAAAATGATCATGAAGGAACTCAACAGCACATGCCTCCTGAACCACCGGCAGCTGGTGATGCTGTTATTAACAATAGCAGCAATCATGCAACATTGTCTAATGGGCATCGCAGTATTATGGACGGTGATACTTACTTGTGTAAGTATTGCGATTTTGGATCGCAAGATGTTAATCATTTCTTTGGACACATGGATTCTGAGCACTTAGACTTCAGCAAAGACCCCTCGTTTGTATGTGTTGAGTGCAGTTTTCTGGCACAAAGCCACAAAGGGCTTTTGCATCACAATGCGGAGTGCCACGGTGGTGAAACTAGCTTCCTCTGGAATGTGGCTAAGCAGGATAATCACACGACAGTGGAGCAAAGTATCTCTGATGCCACCAGCAACCAAGACATTTCAGGAGACTTCTGTGAGGAGGGGGTAGATGGTCAAGCTGAAATCATCATCACCAAAACTCCCATTATGAAGATAATGAAAGGTAAGCCTGAGGCCAAAAAAATTCACATGCTAAAGGAGAACGTATCAAATCAGCCAGGCGATGATTTGGCGATGAAAGATGGTGACCATTCATTCACCAATGGGTCTTTGCCAGCCAGCCGGTCAACAGCCAGCTCAGCAAAATCATCTCACATAGTCAATGGCTCCATATTGGGAAACGTGCCTGTTTTGCAGGCAGGCGTTGCACAACTTGTGTCATTGCAGCAGCAGCAGCCGCAGCTGCACCAGGACCTACCCACGTCCAAATCCCTTCCTAAAGTGATGATTCCTCTGAGCAGCATTCCCACGTACAATGCAGCCATGGACTCCAACAGCTTCCTGAAAAACTCCTTCCATAAGTTTCCCTACCCTACAAAAGCTGAGCTTTGCTATTTGACTGTCGTGACCAAGTACCCAGAAGAGCAGCTTAAGATCTGGTTTACTGCCCAGAGGTTGAAACAAGGCATTAGCTGGTCCCCAGAGGAGATAGAAGATGCACGGAAAAAAATGTTCAACACAGTTATTCAGTCTGTACCGCAGCCCACTATCACAGTTTTAAATACACCTCTAGTTGCAAATGCCAGCAATGTCCAGCATCTCATTCAGGCAACTCTACCTGGTCACATGGTCGGGCAACCAGAAGGAACGGGAGGGTTACTCGTTACACAACCAATAATGACAAATGGATTAAAAGGAAGCAGCTCATCTCTCACGTTAGCAGTGACATCTATTCCCAAGCTCCAACCCATTACGCAACACAACAACGCGTGTTCGAGCAGCGCCTCAGCTGTGAAGGTGGTCAACACAGCTCAGTCTCTGCTGACTGCATGCCCAAGCATATCTTCACAAGCTTTCATGGATCCCAGCATCTACAAAAATAAGAAGTCCCATGAGCAGCTGTCTGCACTGAAAGGCAGCTTCTGCAGGAATCAGTTCCCTGGCCACGCTGAAGTTGAGCGTCTGACCAAAATTACAGGCCTTACAACTAGGGAGGTTCGAAAGTGGTTTAGTGATAGGAGATATCATTTCAGGAATATGAAAGGCAGTAGAGCCATGTTTGCTGGAGATAATACAATAATTATTGACTCCATGCCTGACATTACCTTCACTGTGTCACCAAAAGAGATTGACTTAACCTCTACGACAGCAGCGATGCCCGTGGCTCATCACCAAACAAGGCGACAGTCCTGGCATCAAACGCCCGACTTCACCCCAACGAAATACAAAGAGAGAGCACCAGACCAGCTCAAGGCTTTGGAAGGCAGTTTTGCACAAAACCCTTTTCCTCCAGAGGAAGAAGTGGACCGTTTGAGGAGTGAAACAAAAATGACCAGGAGAGAAATTGATAGCTGGTTTTCAGAGAGGAGGAAAAAAAAGGTGATGGAGGAAAATAAAAAAGCAGAAGAAATGGTCCAGCAAGAGGAGGAGGATGCTGACAATAATTGTGGAGAAGAGGAAGACTCCTCAGATGAACTGAGGGTCTCAAGTGAAAATGGTTCATTAGACACCCCAAGCAGCAATCAAACTTCACTGGAGCGGAAAGTTAGTCCTATTAAAATCAATCTGAAGAAGCTTAGAGTGACTGAGTCAAATGGCAAAAATGAATTGCCAGAGGTATGTGCAAATGATCAAGGGGACAACTGTTCTAGCAGGCCACCTACCCCTGCAAAAACCAAACTGAACTTTAAAAAAACAGCCCAACAGCGGCATTTGCTTAAACAAATGTTCGTAAAGACACAGCGACCAACAAATCAAGAATACGACGCCATAGTTGCTCAGACAGGTCTGCCCCGGGCTGAGATAATTCGCTGGTTTGGGGATAGCCGGTACGGTTTAAAAAATGGCCAGCTGAAATGGTATGAGAACTACAGGCGGGGTATCTTCCCTCCAGGTTTAGCGGTGATCAGCCCAGCTAGCAAAGAGATCCTAGAGGACTATTACAAAAAGCACAAGCTGCTGTATGAAGATGACCTTCAGAGCTTGTGTGAGAGAACTCAACTGAATTCACAGCAGGTTAGGGTGTGGTTTGCTGTAAAGGCGGACGAAGAAACCCGGGCCGTGTCTGACACGGGAAGCGAAGATCGATACTCGGGCACGGGCGAACAAGCAGGAAGCCAAAAAGGGACATGCGATGCCAGTTCGGAGGTATCTGAGAATAGCGAATCTTGGGAGCCCAGTGGCCAGGAAGGCCATTCGGAACCCTTTGATACATTTAGCCAGCAACCTGCAGTTCAGCTTGGTAAGAAACTGATTTGATGTTTTGGCTGCTTTGGGTAGCTTACCTGTTGTAAATAGGCTCATTCCAGCACCAAGAAGCGAAGTCAGAATGACACTAAACATTGACTGACTAGCAGTTGACACTTGTGGAGTTTAATGCCCAAGATTGGAGGGGGTGAAAAAAGCCAGGGGATGGTTATGGTTAAACTGATTCAGAAAAGAAAGTTGGGGGTGGTGGGGCAAAGGGTGCAACCCTTGATACCCCTCTAGTCATGCTTGTGTTTTATGTAGCTCCCAGAGTTCAGACAGCAGCGCTGCTGGGACATAGAACCCTATCGCAGAAGTTAAGCAGGGATAAAACCAAGCCGAGAATCTAGTCCATCCTCCTGCCACGAGAGGATTGCTTTACATAGGGCGACTGACTGGGAGGCAGGCAGCCTGGCTTCTGTTGGTTTCCCAGCTGTGTGACCTTGGGCCCATCCCATCCCACCTACACACACACACTTTGTACAGTGCCTTCAGATCTATGCATGGAAAACACTGTAAGCACAAAGTACATAGAGCACTGCGAGACGTGCCCGTGTGAAAGTTGGACACTGCCCTGAGGGAAGAGCACTGAGGGGCGGGATTTCCAGTGGAGCTGTGCTGAAATGGCATTTGTTGCCAGCTGCCCTAATGCCCCTTCCAAGTCTCTTCCTGGAAAACAGGGTTGCTTTTGAGCCCAACATGGATTCTTTGAACAAGGTAATATGGGGGGGAGCTTTTTTGGCAGGGTGCTGCCGGGTGGGTGAGGATGCACTCTCCCTCCTCACCCAGCAGAGCCCCAGCCATTTCCTTGAGGATCCTCAGCAGCTGGACAGTTTTCTGTACTAAACCTCGCTAAAGCACAGAGGCCCAGCAGATCAGGTTGAAGCCAGGCTCCTGCCTGCCACACAACTGTGCTAAGTTTAGAGGCCTTTAAAGAAGTAAGTTCCAATCTTTAGTGGCTTCCCCCCTTCACATTTTTTTTTAAAACACAATTTCTAGACGAGGGTTGGGTTTTAAAGGGACCCTGCTCTTGTGCTGATTGAGAGGCTGATGAGGGCTTGTCTACACTTAGGGTATGTCTATACTTACCCGCTGGTTCGGCGGCAAGCAATCGATCTTCTGGGATCGATTTATCGCGTCTTGTCTAGACGCGATAAATCGATCCCGGAAATGCTCGCCGTCGACGCCGGTAATCCTGCTCTGCGAGAGGAGTAGGCGGAGTCGACGGGGGAGCCTGCCTGCCGCATGTGGACCCGTGGTAAGTACCTTTAAGTTCGAACTAAGATACTTCGACTTCAGCTACATTATTCACGTAGCTGAAGTTGCGTATCTTAGTTCGAACTGGGGGCTTAGTGTGGACCAGCCCTTACCGGAGGATCGACGGTTGATTTAGCGGGTCTAGTGAAGACCCGCTAAATCACCGCAGATCACTGTCCCGTCAACTCCTGTACTCCATCAGCTTGAGATGAGTCAGGGGAGTTGACGGGAGAACATCTCCCATCAACATCGCATAGTGTGGACCTTGCGGTAAGTAGAGCTAAGCTATGTCGACTTGAGTTGCGGTGTTCATGTAACTCAAATTGCATAGCTTAGATCGACTTTTCCCTGTAATGTAGACACATTACCTTCACGTTGGTGCACATAACAAAATTCATGTGGCAGGGTGGGGCCGAGGGGTTTGGAGTGTGGGAGGAGGCTCAGATGCAGGGGGTGAAGGGGGTGCAGGCTCTGGGGTGGGGCTGTGAGCTTCAGGATGCAGGAGAGGGCTCAGGATTGGGGCAAAGGGTTGGGGTCCGGGGGTGCTGGCTCTGGGGTGGGGCCTGGGATGACGGGTTTGGGGTGCAGGCTGCCCAGGGACTGTGGTGGGGAGAGAGGATTCACCCCAGCCCTCTGGCCGTAGCAGCTCTGGCTGCGGAAGAGGTGCCTCTCCTTGGCTGCGGCAGTTCTGGCTGGGCTGGGCTGAGGGAGGGGCTCCTCTCCTCGGCAGCTCCGGTGGGCCTGGGCACGTCCGGGGCAGATCCATGCTGGGGCCGATGGCGAGAGGCGCCTCTCCCCGCTGCAGCCCTGAACCCCTACACAGAGCTTAATAGGCAGTTGCGTGGCCACACGGCTGCTTACAGGAAACTTCGGTGCTGAGAGCCATTGAACCAAACTGTAAACCCTGTATATAATGGAAACCACTTCCAGCCAGGGGATGCTGCAGCACCCCCAGTACCCCTCGTCCCAGCACCTATAGGGCCATCCTCCATCTTGTTAGATCCCTGGAACAGGGTGGTCCAGAGGACGACTCGCTTAACTACAACAAACTTCTGCCATAGGAGGTGGCATTCTGCCAACAGCCACAGCTGCCTGGGTGTAGCTACTGCTTCCTTCCTGCCCCCATGCAATTGCTAGCCTTCACGCTAGCCCTGTTCCTTCCTCCTCACAGCAGGGTCCTGTTCTGTAGCTTCACTTTATGATGCAACCAGCTGTTGCTCAAAGAAAGCTCTTCCAGCAGAAGAGGCCCCAGCGTTACGTGCGGATTTTGTAAGCATGGGACGTGTATTCTGACGCTTGTGTATGTTGTCTCTTTCAGAAACAGATTGACCTTAAACTGCCTGCTCTGAAGGATCTGCGATTACATTTGAGAAGATTGTAAATCCATGGGCCTGATACGAATCTCAGTAGCAGGGAGTGGTGTAAAAGCACGGCTATAATGAGACCTTTCAGTACAGCACATCAGAGAGGGAGAGCAAGAGAATCGGGCTCTTCATGCAGTGCCATCTGCAGCCTAATCTAGAATCTTACTCACCAGCTGGCCAGAGTAGGGCATCAGTAAGATCTTCTCACTCTTGTGACGTAGGATGCTGTTTCCTTTCCAGTGGATAAACTTTCAGATTTCATATTCATATAATGGAACCAACTTTTGACATACAGACAGCCGCCTCGACAAGCATAATTAATTTTGGACATTGATTGTGTAATTGTATTTTTTGCGTAGAAATGGACTATCATGGCACAATACATTTTTATCTTCAGCTGTTTGTAATGTGTTTGTTCTCTAACGGTTGGCAATGTTGCATATGTCCCCGACTCTTGGGTCCCTAGATCAGGGATTGGAGGATACCATCATGAGTGTCAGTATGTGTGTCAGAGCAAGAGAGAAGATCTGAGAAGCAACATGCCAGTCTTCGTAGCAAGAACAGGATGAATTCAGTGGGGTGGATGTAGATTTCTTTCCCTGGGGATGGGGGTGGAATAAGCTATTGTACACCCTCCAATATCCAGTGGGGGGTTGGGATCCTGCAAAGGTCAGGAGATAGAATTGGATATAATCTGTCCCCCTACTGCCTGGAGTAATTTTATTTCTTTTATGCTAGGCGGTGGAATGTAGCACAGCCCATTACTCTCCAAGCCTCACATTAATTACTGAGAACTAGCACTTAATGTTTCCATCCTGCTCTGGAATCCCTTTCATTGTTTATAGAGGACAAACTGTTCTTCAGAGAACAAATACAGACAAAAATTTGGCTTTCTGCTAACGTTTCAAGTCATCGTTTTCTAGACAGGAAGCTTGCTTGTTACAACACTAGTTGAATTAGATTCCTTCTCTTGTCCTACTGTGCTAATGCTATTAACCTATACTTATTGGTCCAGGTCACCTTACCTAGTTCTCCAACTGTAGTCCTGTCTTTCTGTGAGCTAGACAATAAATACATTGCAAACTAGTTTTTAGTTATCTGGTATATTAAGTGCTCACTTAATCATATACCTTTTTAATATGTATATGTCTACAATGTCTTGGGCTATTACTGCTTTAAAGCAGCTTCTTTATTATTTTTGATTCTAGTGTAATTTTTCTTAATGTGGAAGGCTTTATTCTCAGTGGTAGGAGATATTTATTAAATGGGTGAGTTTCAAGCTCTAAGTGACCTGATCTAGTGTAAGTTTATAAAGAGAGGTTGGTCTTTTTAAATCTCTCCCGGCGTCTCTTCCAAAGGTAGCATTTGATTTCTACCTTAAGTCATCTTCTTGAATAGTGTTCCCCTTTCCTCATGTCCGTATTTAGAAGGCCTTACTATTCAATAATTAAGAGGAGTAGCTCTCTTTAGTCATAGCATCATTTGGGAATGAAAGGACTCTAGCAGGACACCTACGCCTGTTAGTTCAGTCTGTGGCAGTTCAGAGAACCATGCTGATAGAATAGCATTTCTCCTTATGCAGAAGACAACATTGCAACTGTACAGGTCACACTAAACCTTTGTTAGAGGCATACCAGCAACAATAATCAGCCTCTCGATGGTGTGAGCTCAACATTTGCATGGCTGAGCCCCTACGTTCTTGCTCCCGAGATGTCAGTTCCACAATGGCTGCTGGAGTCCCTGCAACTGTCATCTTGTATACCCTGAAACAGCAAGGGACGGGAGGGAGAAGGACTAGAAACGTCTAGCAGTGACGATTACTCTTGATGCTACTGGTGGGAATCTGGTGACCCAAGAGTGTGGCTGCATGTACAGTGTTAACTAAAGAGAACAAATACAGGTAAGTCATTTACTCTCTAGTGTCTATATACGTGCAGGAGTATTTAAATATGCACATGTACTGTTCAAATGTGCAATTTTTACTGCATAAGACGTACATTCAAAATGTACACTTTACTGAGTGCTATATAAAGATGTTGGAAACACAGTTTGCCCCTTCAAGGTGACTTTGTTGGCATACACTTAGAAAGAGCCACCTCCAGGCCACTGAAGGAAATGTTCAATCATCACCCTGTGAATGGGTTTCTAAAAATCTCTTTTTCCAGGCACTGGCTGAATTTTTTTGCAGCTGGATTTTAGTCTGCCAGTAGCCCAGAAAAGAAAAGGAAACGTCTAGTCAGCTGAAGGGAATTTGGTCGTGGTGTACCCAGAAAACCCAGCCTTGAAGGGTTAAAGCTGCTAATTGCTCGTTTGTGGATATGTAAAGACATCAGGCTATTAGTCCCTTTTCGTTAGAGGAATTTTCAAATATGCTTCCATGCAGCCTGGCTTCCCTAAAGGCAGGCAGTCCAGTGAATGGAATTGCACCTCTCCGGGCATGGTGAAGGTGGGAGTGATAAAATGGGTCTGGGATAAAGCTTCTGAACCAGACACCAAAAGAAACCTGGTTCCTTTTTAATCTCCCATATGTTTATTACCAACACATTTTTACTGGGTATTTCCAAAAGGGTTTGTTATAAAGAAGGGAGAGCTACTGTCATTCGTGGTTCATCTAACACCTCTGTTAAATAGGTTGAAATGAAGTAGGCACTAATACCAAAATACATAGGGTTTGGTGCAGGACATTAGAAGTGTGCTTGCGCGGAAACTGAAACAATTGTGGACCAGCTCTTGGTCACTGTGAAGTGGTTTGACAGTCCTATCAGCAGCACTTCTGCAGCTGGTGTTGCAGGAAACGCCACCTCAATTTTGCACCTAGACAGTATTAACTTTTATCATCCTCTAATCAACAAGCATTGTCACTTGGACTAGATAAAAGGAGAGAATTGGCTAGATGGAGTGGTGAGTTAGCATTTACTTATTAGGAGAGGAAATTTTTAAAAACTAATTTCTTCAACTCCCTCAGCTAAAAGTGAGCCTATGTTCACTCGGACTTGATGGTTGCACAGCTGTAAAAATCCTTTTATCTTCAGTCTTATGTTGTTGCTTCCATCTTACTAACATTAAACTTCTGTATAGGAGGTGGGCTGGCTTAAAACCAGAAACTCAAGTGCTTAGTAACCTGCTATCCAGATTAATATCTCAGTCATGTCTCATCTTTAAAAAGAATCATAGGTTTAATCTTATGATTAAAAAGAATCATAGGTTCTAGGAATAGAATTGGCTTGCTAGTTAGTAAGAGCAGTGATCTGCTAGGCAAGGCTCTGATTTTTTGGCTAGCATCCTGGATGTTTTTTTTAAAACACTATAAAATTTAATTATACCTGGTTCCTCAACTTAGTTCCTAGTTCCAGTTTCACAAGGGAGTCACTGGGATAGTGGTTTGGTTAGTTAGTGGTTCATGTACAGAGGGCATTTGCAGCTGCCTGCATTTGACAATTACCTGCAGGTGTCCAGCTTAACAGGTGATTGTGTTAACAACTTTGGTATTTGATCGTGAATTGGACATATACTCCCCGAGCTGCACCCCTGTAACTCTTAAAAGTGTAGTGTTTGAATCAGACTTATCAGTACTAGTACGTGGTGGTGTAGAATCATAGAATATCAGGGTTGGAAGAGCCCTCAGGAGGTCATCTAGTCCAACCCCCTGCTCAAAGCAGGACCAATCCCCAACTAAATCATCCCAGCCAGGGCTTTGTCAAGCCTGACCTTAAAAACCTCTAAGGAAAGAGATTCCACCACCTCCCTAGGTAACCCAGTCCAGTGCTTCACCGGTTGCTCTCCCTCCCCTGCTGACCACTTGCTGCACAGCACGGCAAGGACTGAAACAGGAGATAATATTTCCTATCAGATTGCTTTTTGGGGGCTAATACAGGCTGGAAAGGCTGGGGATAGCCAAATTGTGGAAAACAGAGAACAAGGGGTAAAATTAGGGGATACCATAGTGATGCCCATGGTATAAAATAGCTGGAGAGGGACGGCTGTACAGCTGCTGCCTGATTTTCAAAGATATTGAGTATTGACAGTTCCCATTGACTTCAGCTAGAGCTGTGGGCACTCAGCAATTCTGCACATCAGGCCTGTAAATTAAGCCGAGTTCCAACCGTGGCACAGTGGGATGGACACAGCCCTGTGACTCTCCAGGCTTTCTTAGCCTTGCTATAATGCAGCGATCTGCAGAGAGCTTGCACCTGATGTTTCAGTTATTTAAAGCAGAATGGTCTATCCCTTCCTACAGCGGCCTTTGTGGGTCATTTGCCAAGCCAAATGTTTCACAGCATGAGAATCAATCAGCAAAGGCAGGGCACAATGGCAGCCGTGGTATGAAACTAAATAGTCATGGTGGGTATCTAGTTTAACAACCCTTATGTGATGGCATGACTTGCAGTGAGAGGCACAGCGACAAGACACCATCTTCTCTTGTATTTGCTGTCGGCGCCAGCTCTTGACCTATGCATTCAGGAGGAGGAGCTGGAAGGCTGAAGAGCAGTTTCGTTTGTCCACATAGAGCAGCAATTCTTGATGATTGGAAACTTGAAAAACCTTTTCCCCAAATAAAGCTGGAGCCATTGATCATAGAGCCTGAACAGAAGATGAAACGTTGCGGGTAGGGGTAGTTCAGATGGTACGATGTTTTTCTGAGCTTGGCACAGATCAGCATGTGAGAGATGAGAATACTGTACCTTCATCACATGGTAGTACTCATAGTTACAGTGATACTGTTAAACTCATCTCTCCCTACTTCCCATGAAACTGTGTTTTAAATTTGTGAAACCAGTTCCTAAGACAGGGAACCCTATTGACCATTTTTAATTTCTCAGCGATTACAAAACAAACATGTAAGCATCAGTTGAAGCTGCCAGCACGAAAAGGGGATTCAGTCACTCTCTTTGCCAGGGTAGTTCCTGCTGTGTCCATTACTGGCAATGGGATCTGCCAGGAATTTCAGACTAGCGCCACAAAAGCTTGAAAACAAACAGGAAAACAAATTAACTGAACTCTTCCAGATGCAGCAGGGATCTCTTACACTTGTCCCGCGTTTCAGCAAAGAGCATACCACTCCACTCGGTCGCTCATTTGAAGGCTGGCCTTAATCCAATCTCTCCTGTCCTGGTAGATGGATGGTATTACCCATATGCTGTTCGCTGGTACCAGTGAAGAGAGCAGGGTAGAAATCTTCTTGATAAAGTTGTACTTTTGCTCAGCCCCCATCTGATTATTTTTGTTAGGAATTTTGTCAGGAATTTTTCACCCCATGTTGGTAGCACGGCACTAAAAGTCAGGCTTTGGAACACACTGCTTCTCATCAGCCCATACAATCAACATATGGTGTCTTGTTTAAAATCATCCTGGTGCTGAGTGACCTGGGATTCATCCAAAGGAAACTAGAATTGGAGCTGCAATGGGACCTTTCATAAGGGTAGCCTTGTGGCTAGGGACAGCGAAAAGACTTGGCTGTCGTTGTCTTTGGGGGGGGGGGGGATATTTTGGATTTTTTTTAAGACCATAATTAGGAGATTTAACATGGCACCTGCGTGAGAAGGTAGTTTTTACTTTTGGTGAAGGTTTTAAAGAGAGAAACAAAGCTGCCTGTGACTGTGGGCTATAGTTATTACTAGTGCTAGGGTCGCTTGCCCCTGCGATGGACTTTACATGCTCTTATTCTGTGGGTGAGCTCCCTGTAGCAACAATGCCACTTCTGAGAAGTGAACCACAAGTTTCCCTTACTTTTGTATATGTGGAGGGGGGCGGGGGGGAGCTTGCTTGTACAGTTTGGTGAAATGAAATGAGACCTTTTCAGTTGTTCCTAAATAAAGAGCATAAAATATGAACAGGAGCAGCGTGGTGGTGTCTGTATCCATTGGAACGGTGGGATTAAAGGGCCAGGCACGTTACCTTGTGCTTTGCCAAGAGCTGCTGCACAGCGGCTCTTCGTTACAACTCTCTTTTCAAAGCCAGTTGTTTGTGAGACGTACTGCCCAGCTTTCCGCCCGCGGAGTCCAACAGGGAGAGCGTGCCTGGTGGAATGGCAGCTGGGTCCTGAAGGGGGAAGCACACTTCTCAAAGGTAAGCCTCTAGGACAGACAACCCTCTGGAGTCCACAGGGATTTGGCTGTGCCAGACCATCCCTGGGCAAGGTCACCTCAGTCCTCTGTATCAGACACCCACACTTCCAGATTTAAATCAATAAAAATCGCCACTTCAATCTAAAAGCAGCCATGACTTTCGATCTGCTGCCCCATTGTGTCACCAAAGCCAGAGACCTGATGGCTGAATGTAAATCAGTTTCCAGAGAGCACATGGGCAGGGACAGCCTGGAGGCAGGAGAGGGGTGTCTGGGCTTTAGTTCACACTGATGTACGAGTTAGGCTCACCCCAGCTAACAGCATTCAGTCTGACTGCCTTCCAATCACTAGTCTGTTCCCACAAGCAACGGGTCCTGAAACACAGGGTATTAAGGTAGTATGGGCCAGCGCTGATGCATCTGATTTGCCAGACTTTGTACCTCACAATCTCCTGACCCTTCTCCCCTTTTTAAAAACAAGAATTCATTGAGACACCAAGGTCTGCGTGGCCTTCAGTTCTGATGTCACCCCCTCCCAGTGAGCCTGGCTACTCCCGGGAGTGCAGTTTGCCCAACAGAGCACGAAGACACACATTGGCAGTGTCCAACGCCCAGCAGCAATGCTGGTAGAGTCCCCCACATAGACTTAAAAGAAAGTGATGGCTCCTAGGGCGCATGGGAGGGTCTGAAATACTCAAGGACTGCATTGGTCCACGGAATCGAATAACTTACACATTGTGCACTCTTCCATCCCTCTGGAAAACAGCATGACAATTTCCTCAAGCAGCCTGGTCCAGGCTTTGCAGGATCCATATTCCTCTGCAGCCTTCTTAGGTGTCTCGCTCTATGTTCTCCCTGAATGTTTATCGCTGTTTCAGCTATTTGTCTGCACATGTGCTCCTTGTTACAAGAACATACCAGGGCATATTAGGGTTTGCTTTGCCGTTTCTCCCTACCCAGCCCCCTCTGCACAAAACACAATGAGGAAAAAGTAAGTTGAGGACTTTTATTGGACATTCTGGTCTTCAAAAGAGTGACCTGAACACAATCCTCAGGCTGAGTGGGGAGTATGGCTCTTAAGTAACACCAGTCAAGAGCCAAACACAATATAGTGCACTGCTGTGGAGCATACAGCCTGCCTCAAGGGCTGTAGCATGGTCTATTATCCTGCCTTGTCCTTCCACCCCCATGATAAATACAGTCCCTTTGGAAGGTTGGAATAACCTAAATTCAGACCCCAGCCTAGAGAGCAGGTACGAGTTAACTGTTGTGCAGTTGAGTAGCCATTTATCACTAGCCCTGGAGCAGCTCTGTTTGGAAAAGGACACATTCCCTCTGCAGATCATGCAAACGCTCGGCCAGAGGTGTTCTTCCTCTCACTTTAAAAGAAAAGGCAAAGCGTTGCCACCTCCAAAATAAGGGTGGCAACAACTTGTCTAAATCTCAGCTGGAGAAGCCACCAGTCAAAGCAGAATTTGCAACTGCCAGCTCCTAACCTAAACCAGAGCTACTCAGTCACATGACTTTCAGCAGCCTGGAGTATTCCTTTAGAAGCAGCACTGCCAGAAACCACTAGACTGGTGGCTGCACGCCAAGTAGGAAGAAACTTCTGTGGAGCTGCACCTGCTGCCAGCAGGGCTGAATTTGGCTCAGTATCTCATGTAGCTTCTCTGGTGAGCCTCAGCCTTCTGCACTCCATTTTCTTGCTACCCCTTCAGTTGGGAGTGCTCATGCAGGCCTCCGCGGGACACGTTCCCTACCTGACGTGCCGTTTGGGCGACAGAGAGCGATAACCCACAGTATTTCAGACCCCTTGCCTGAACTGTTTACAAGGCAACATGAAGGCAGGGAGAGCGAGCGAGCTCCAGGTCCGCCTGAAGGTGCAAGAGAGACTGCACGCAAAAACCACAGCTAGCTGCTGGCTTGAAACGCACTGAAGAGTGGCCACTAGGCCCTTTTCTGCAGTGGAGCATGAACTCGGCAGCTAGGGCAAACCTCGAGAAAGCGGAGACGTTACACACTTAACACTGACTTTTTTATTGTAACTTAAAGCTAGAGGGGCCTTGTAAACTTTGAGTTTCACTACTGGACCCAGAGGCAGAGGCTATACAGGTACTTTGATACAACAACAAAAGGACTGAGGTGCATCCTGCCTGGTTCTTAGAAAGTACCTCCCTATGGGGGCATGTAAAAGGAGGGAGAAGAGGCAGGTCACTCAAGGGAGTGGGAAACATTTACATCGAGTTAATGCTGTAAAAAGCTTCCCTACCAGCTTCTGAGCAGGGCTGGGATCTAGATTTCTCAGGATATAGGCTCAAAGGGAATTTGTTTGATTATAGACACAGTTTTGTCTCCAGCCTTAATAGCTGACAGGCTATACACATTAATACACTTCATTATGGGCTTGGTAGTAGAAGGTGGTTGGGTGGTGAGTTTTTTTTAATTTCTCCACTCAAACACACACCAGCAGAGAAACTGGAAAAGCTGCCTGAAAGTAGGCCAAAGCAGTGACGTTTCCATAGAAACCAGTTCACAGCGTTCCGTGATAATCACAAGCACTAGAGGTGCTTTTCAGCAGGCGAAGTTGGGCTAGAGCCGGTTGTCCCCATTCACCCTGGTCCTTCGCAGTACCCTGCAGGGGAAGAGAGGAAAGGGGAGGGGCTTGAGATGAATTCTGCTGCAGAGACCTTAACAAGCAATTGTGCACTATTTATAATCCCAGTCATTGCAAGGTCACCCAGCTCCAGCACTGGGCCTCAGGCTGGGCCGCTAAGCCCTTATGCATCCATCTCAGAACTGTTAGATAGAGCTGGCCGAAACGTGTGTTTTGGGGGTTGAGAGACATTTCAGGTTTGAAATGTGGGCTGTGCCGCTGAATGAAACCCCTTTTGCTGAAGTTCCTTGGCAAATAGAAAATTTTGTTTCAGAAACACCAAAACCTTCTGGTTCCCAAATGAAACATGAAACTGACGTTCTTGTCAGTTTCACGGCTGCTAGTCACTCAATGTCCGTTTCATGGAGCTGCTGCTGGGGCTCTGGTGCAGCCCCATAATGTGGACTGTCCAAGAACCTTGGCTTCCAAACTCCTGGCCCAGGAGGCTCCATGGGCTGTGTGACTCCTGAGCGGGGCAGCCTGAGCCAGCAGTCTGGAAGCCCTGATGTTCTCAGCCCCACAGCAGTCTGCATGGCTGGGCTTCCCCAAACCCTGTATGCCAGTCCCAGGAATTCCAGGCTCCCAGCTTTATGGAAAGGAGTCCTTAGAGACTCGAGTTAAGCCAGGGCTCTCAGAGCTTTCAGGTTCTCAGCTCCCAGCCAGGAGCCTGGCAGCTGGAGCATAGCCAGCCCTGAGAGCCCCAGCTCCTCCTCACTTAGTGTTAAATAGGGTGAGGACTTCCTTCCTGCCCCAGAGCGTGAATGGCAACCTGTGAGATACACACCTGTCTTGCAGGCCAGAACTCTGCAGATGAACCTCGCTCATCCACCCGTCAATATGAAATACAGGCGCTTTGCAGGTGCCTGACGCACCAGCGTGGGCAGAGAAGCGTGGGCAAGTGGGGAATGTGCTGCAACAGCCCTGACACAGGGCCTACATTATGACAACAGGCTCCAGTGCCTCTCCATGAATGGTAGGATGTCCCCTGCCTTAGCTCTGCCACTAAACCAAACCCCTCACTGAGTCACACTGGACTCCTGGTAACTGTCTCCATGGGCTGTCGAGATCAGGGAGCTTACACTCAGACAGCGTCACAGGGAGACGATAAGGAAAACTGCCGACTAGGCAATAGAAGCTGCACTGATTAAAATCAAGGGTAGCTTGGATCCAAGGCCATGCTTGGTTTGCGTTATAGGAGCTCAAGGTAGAGAGAACAAATCCCTTTCCAAAACTCCACCGTGTTACCTTCGCTCTCGGCTGTCAAATTGGTCTGCTAGCTGCTCCCGGAAATCCTCAAATGGCTGTTGGTAGCGGGCGTCGAAGGACCCTTCCCGGACTCGGTTTGTCAGGAGCTGACTTGAAGGGTCACCTGTCCGTTCTCGGAGGGCTGAGGCACCGAAGAGGTTAATTTCTCCATTTTCCTGCTTGAATCAGAAACAAGGGGAAGTAAATTTTTAAAGCACAGCACTGGGACTGCATGCACATTCTCTGCAAGGAACCAGAACTGTCTGTGTAGTTGTGCAAACACGAAGATGATGTGAACAAGTCAGATGTGCAAATGCGCATGCAATTGTGCGCTGATGCTCTTTAGACGTCTGCCCCAATTTTAACAGACAAACACTAGCTTTAGGGCAAGATTTTGTTTTTTAAAAGACCTTCTGCTAGAAAGGGAATTACCAACCCTTCAGGCAAAAATTGTGCATGACAGAACTACATGAACCAGCCCAACTGAGATGAGATATCAGCCTCTCTCCCTCTCCTCTCCCCCAGAGGGAATAAGTTTAGAAACCAACATCTCCTGGGCCTGGAAGCTAGAACTATACCTGCTCAGACGGGAGCTTTAGAGTGAGGATCCAATGAAAACCAAGTGCAGCACAGGCAGGTGCGTTCAATCTTCATCCCCAGAGCTCTGCCTCACCCCACTGGGATAAACCCACCTCAGGCAATGCCCCAGAGGGGCCACAATATGCCATGCTTGTCTCCTGAGCAGGGGCTGCCAGTTATTCCCAGCTGTGTGGTGGGTTTCTCACAGGGACCAGCTTGAAAGAACCAAGCTGGTTTGTTGTGAGAGACTAGGGGGATGTTCTGGGCTAACGAACAACAGCTCTGGAGTC